CAAGGGTGGTGGTACCTACCCGTGTGGACTCATAACAGGTCCTACCACCGTTAAATATATCCACAGAAGGTTTTAGAGATACTCCTATAAATTGTGGAACCGTGACAAAGTGATCCATCTTCGCATTGATCGCGCTAACATTCTTTATTCGGCCACAATTTTTTTTGGTAATGTCAATAGGCCGACAAACTCGTCCTGACGGGTAGCAAGCGACTATCGAGCATTGAAACATGAAGCAAAACAAACCGTGCAGCTTCACTGAACACATTATATCAGAAACCACAGTAATCTAGAATCCCAACAAATGCATTTTAATTAATTTCATATTTCTTGAACAATGACGTAACGGCAACTCGGCGCGGCGATTCGTAGAACTCATTATGATGTGTTTAAAGCGTCAGGGACCCTAGACAATGTTAGTTTGTACTAGCGCAAAATTGATATGAGCAACGCAAAGTCACAGGGCTTGTTCTATACATTTGCAAGCGTTAATCCACGATATAGGTACTACGCTAGGAGAAACTCCTCTAGGCCCTCAAATGGAAATGGGTCGTAAGTTCCGTCTATCCAACTAGATCAACAGTCGTCGTGGCTTAAAGGATAAGACGTCCGGTGCATTCGTATCGAGCGATGCAACGGTGTTCGAATCCTGCTGGCAGTTACCAATTTTTCTAATGAAATACGTACTTAACAAATGTTTACGATTGACTTCCACGCTGAAGGGATAACAACGTGTAATAAAAATCAGTCCCGCAAATTATAATTTGCGTTATTACTGGTGGTAGGACCTTTTGTGATTCCGCACGGATAGGTACCACCACCCTGCCTATTTCTGCCGTGAAGCAGTAATTCGTTTCGATTCGAAGGGTGGGGCAGCCGTTGTACTGTTAAAACTGTGACCTTAGAACTCATGTCTCAAGGTAGGTAGCGACATTTACGTTGTAGATGTCTATGGTCTCCGGTAACCATTTAACATCAGCTGGGCCATGAGCTCGTCCACCCACCTAAGCAATAATATTAAAAATAAAAGAAAAAAAGACAAAAATACTCTACGTGCAAAGTAAACACATCATCTTCATAAATATATCATCTAATAAGCTGAAAGTGTTGCGGTACCTATCATAGATCACAACATATTTCACGAACACAAAATATTTGACAAATTCCTGAATCTCGCCAATGACAATTTCACTTAATGTTTACATATGAAAAAAAAAACCGGTAGCCTCTTTGTGCTATATTATCATGTTTCAAAAAAACCTTCTTCAAACGCAATACTTGTCTACTTACATCCGAATAATAATATGCTATCGCTATTGAGCTATTACGCTGTGCACCCTTGATCTGACAATTGATCAATTGCGGGCGTTTATCCTATCGTGAATAATATACTCAAAGTGCGGAGCCCACTCCTCGGATGCTTACACACTTGAATTTCGTCTTTACACACTCATGATATTGTAAATTCGAAGAAGGAAACCTTTATTAAAGGTTTATCCTTATCAATAACCTTGCGAGAACAAGATGGCCGCCTTCGTCGACGGAGCCATCAAACTTGTGGGTAATATATTAATAACAATAATAATAGTAATTATTCTTCCGATAGTTGTGTTTAATAGCGAAAAGTTTCGACCATCGCCTTAAAAAACATTGGTTATCTAGCAGCGTTAGGCGCCTTGCGCAAAAAGCAGTTATCATTGATACGGCTCGTATGGTGAGGAAGACGAGCAGGTTTCCCAGTCTGAAGTCCTAACCACAAGTGACTTGTGTCGTAGAGATCACAATATATTATCTTCTTTTTTATTGCCCTTGTAGACAGACGAGCATACGGCCCACCTGATGGTGAGTGGTTACCGTCACCCATGGACTTCAGCAATGCCAGGGGCAGAGCCAAGCCGCTGCCTACCGAATATCTATAAAGTATTTTTTTTTACTTTTATTATAATGATATGTATATATAACATATATTATATAGGTTGGAATAAATTATGATAATAATATATATAATTGCGGTTTAACCCCCTGGCAATGCCAATGTTTGGTAACGATGACCTAAATTTCTTTTCAATATCAATGTAATTATTGTTTCATTATTGATTACGTTTTGTCGTACGTAATAAATCGGATAAAAAGGAACAAGTTAAACTGAATTTTCCTTTAAGATAAAATGTAGAAGACAAAAAGAGTCGAACAAAGTACTACATATGACTACATATGAAAACTATTATTATTAGTTAAATGGTTTCGAAACTAGAGGAAATTATGATAAAATAAATTATAACAAAATAAAATGTCTGACTGAAGTATGTACATATTATGTAGCTACCGTGTCCGCCCATCAAGGGCTATAGAACGACGTTAATGGAACCACGAAACGCTACAAAGGGCACGCGAAGAGTCCTTTTATTCTCAAGAAAAGTGCTATCACTATTCCGGTTTACGATAATAAAATAACATAGTATAATTTTAATATGGCCATCTTAACTATAATAGTAATAAGTTAATATTGCTTAATTATTGAAATGAAACCTTAATCACTGGCAACTTAACATCAAGATTATTTTTTTGTCATTTTCACAGCCATTAGATTTTCTTTTGTTAGTAAATTGCGAAAAAAAAAAATTTTCTTAATCATAACACTCACAAAAAATAGCCAATAAACATTAATTTATAAATAGAGGATAAAATCGGGATGAGCTCATTTATTCTTGCCGCGTTTTGTTTAGATACATAGGTTGTATTGTATTGTTATATTTATTTGCGCAATTGTTTAAATAGGTCAACTTCTATTTCATTACTTCTATAATTATATTCTATTAAAGTAGGTAGGGCATATTTTATATGTAGTAAATCAGAAAATGTAACAGCTTACGTTTTTTATTGGTTCTATGTGAAATCTAAGGTGTAGAATTGAACAGCCCACGTGATCTCATATATAAAAACCTTGAGACCTCAAAAATCTCATCCCAAATCGCATTCCCCGTTACGAAGTTAATAATGATTTTTCATCGGTCCGGACTAGTGGTATTGTGACTTAATTAAATTTTCTGTTTCGACATGGTCTATACAAAAAATTGTTTTTATTTTTTTATAGGAGGGAAAAGTTTCTGAAAAATGTTTTTTCCCTGTGCTTAATTCAATAACAAAAGAATATAGCAATCAGCATTTTAATACATATTGTGTTATTACTATAAGACATGTTATTTTACATGAAGGTAAACAACCGTTTTTTAATTACCATTGAACATTAAGTAAGTTGGTGAAGCTCTAACAATATTTGAATTTTTATATTTATTTTGCACTCCACAACCTACCTTTGTTATTTAATTGTCAACTGAAATAAATTCATATTGCTATATCGCTATTTTATATCGCTCTACTTTCTTAGCAATGTTTTTTTAAAGAAACAAAAAAATTGAGTTGCCGTCAACCTTAACTGACTAAGATAACTAGATATAAAATAGCTAGTATTTATTTTATAATTTTACACGCTTACGAGCTGAAAATTGTTTTTAAATTGCTGCGTTAAACGGAGTGTCGTACAGTTGGTATAAAAATAATTAATCNCGAAACGCATTACTGCTTCACGGCAGAAATAGACAGGGCGGTGGTACCTACCCGCGCGGACTCACAACAGGTCCTACCACCAGTAATTACGCAAATTATAATTTTGCGGGTTTCACTTTTATTACACGATGTTATTCCTTCACCGTGGAAGTCAATCGTGAACATTTGTTGAGTACGTATTTCATTAGAAAAATTGGTAAAATATTGGTAAAAGAACAGCCCACGTGATCTCATATATAAAAACCTTGAGACCTCAAAAATCTCATCCCAAATCGCATTCTCCGTTACGAAGTCAATAATGATTTTTCATCGGTCCGGACTAGTGGTATTGTGACTTATTTAAATTTTCTGTTTCGACATAGTCTATACAAAAAATAGTTTTTATTTTTTTATAGGAGGTAAAAGTCTGAAAAATGTTTTTTCCCTGTGCTTAATTCAATAACAAAAGAATATAGCAATCAGCATTTTAATACATATTGTGTTATTACTATAAGACATGTTATTTTACATGAAGGTAAACAACCGTTTTGTAATTACCATTGAACATTAAGTAAGTTGGTAAAGCTCTGACAATATTAGAATTTTTATATTTATTTTGCACTCTACAACCTACCTTTGTTATTTAGTTGTCAACTGAAATAAATTCATATTGCTATATCGCTATTTTATATCGCTCTACTTTCTTAGCAATGTTTTTTTAAAGAAACAAAAAAATTGATTGGCGGCAACCTTAACTGACTAAGATAACTAGATATAAAATAGCTAGTATTTATTTTATAATTTTACACGCTTACAAGCTGAAAATTGTTTTTAAATTGCTGCGTTAAACGGAGTGTCGTACAGTTGGTATAAAAATAATTAATCATCGTCCATAGATGGCGTAAGTGGTATCGCTGTTTCAGCATGCAATCAAATGAATCAACCAATGACATTCCGAAAAGTGTCCCTAGTTTAGTGACGTCATTATTTCCACGTTGGAAGTTGTAGGGAAATGTCATGTTTCTTTTTATTTGTAAACTAGTTGTACATAAATAGTAATAAATAAATATTTATACAATAAAATATTTACCTCGTTGAAGTGCAATTATAAAATATGTTATATAAGTGAAGAAGTTTTATACTGTTTACAGTACTATGACCTCTACTGAGTTTTTATCGGAACAAAATGAATTCTAAAAATTTTCCGAAAATACAGGATTTTTTACTAAAGTATGTCTAGTAATAAGCATTACTAAATCAAAAGTGTAAAAAAAATGGAATTCGAAGAAGGCCTCATGGTTAGTATCTTTCGTAATCTGATAGCTTATCACAGCCAAGAGTAGATACTGAACGATCGTTCTTGCAGACGTACTATGAAGAAATAAGTTGCGTTCACCTCGTCTGCCTGTTTAGAGTGGCTTTCGTGAGCGCACGCCGCCACTTTTACCGTTACTTAGTCATTTCATTTTGTGAACAGTTCTTGTTCAGGCGCCGGTATCTGCACCTCACGTTTCACAGATCCTCTCACTATTGTATCATCCTCACATTGTTATGTTTCTGTATTTATAAGAACAGTGGTTTTCCCTTAACGGCGTATTATTGCGAAGTGAGAAGTGATAATCTGGCTTGAAACAAACACGTCATAAATTAACTCGCGCTTAGACATTCCGGTTCGCGTAAACAAGATATTGCCAGCTAGGCACCATGCGGTCGCTACCTTTACCATATGCCGCACAGTAAATAGTTGAAAAAAGCCGACAATACTGTATCAAGATCCCAGTACTTTTTCATACTGCATAAAAACATTTCCAGTTTTTTTTTTTATAGAAAAAATTTAGTTGTGATTCATAAATGTTGATGTAACATTGAAAAGTGAAGTGTATTCCAATATGGATAAAAAAGTGGACTTGTTGTCTCTGATAGAGGTAATCTTTCTTTAAATTAAAAACATTCTAGTACTCTAAGCTTGATAATTCACAATAAATACTGATGCATTGGGCTGAGAACCGTTAATATTTTTTAATAATATAAATTAAGCTCAATGCTTACATTGGGATATATCTAGTAATAACAATCATTCATACTCAGATATTGTGATGTGAACAATTTAAATTCAATTATTTAAGTGAATAACATACAATTGATTACTTTTCTTGATCAAAATCAAACTTTTTAGTAAATTAACACAACTACATATGATTTCATATTAAATCTATTGCAACAAGTACCTTTATGGAAAGTAAAACTAAATTTTCATGAAATTTAATAATATTGCTTTAGAATTATCAATTAAAATGATTGTGAATGTCTGTAAGTTATAAACTGAAACCAGTAAGAAACCTTTCACTTTGTACCATTTAGTTTTAAAATGAAAGTAATTCTTATCACTTTGATTCATACTTCAGATGTAACAAAGCCTTTCTAAAAGCCAAATACACATTTTTGGTTCGCATTGTATTTTAATGATCACTTGTTAATTATTTAAAAAATCAGCTGGACTGTGAGCTCATTAGTCCCATTTATGCAAATGGTTATCACTTAAAACAAAATTACCTATAGCATAAAATACCTAAAATAGGTTGGGCAAAAATAGATTTTTTTCATTGCTGAATATAGACAGACAAGCTTTTGGTCAGCCGAGTTTTAATGTTTGACAGGTGCATATTTGAATAGAATAAATGATGAAATTGTATTAGGTTATGGAAGAGAAGAATACTACCACCCGACTTGAGAGTTAATATTGAAGTATCATCTACACAATACAAAATAAAGCCTATTCTGCCATAAAAATAAAAATCATAAATAAAAATAATATAATTTAATCTAAGACAAGTGGATGATAATAATTAGCTCACAAAAAGTACTTGCTAAAATTAATTTTTTTTTCGGAATTATTTTTGAAACTTTCACTTTCTACACTGTATTCTATACTGTATATGTGGTTAAATAATATCAGTAATAAATATTAATTATTTATGTTAAAAACTAAATTTGTAATCGTAATACATTGAACTGATGAATGGCATACCAAAATAATGGTAATGGAAAATATTTATTTATAGAGCATAAAATAATTAAAAAAAAGGGAGCTGCTTATTACATAAAATTATTTCTTGCTAATTATATTTGAGAATATGTCTATGTTGAAAGAATTACTGGTTGAAATAAAAAATTACAATGTATGTATAAAATGATATAAATGCTTAAACTGATATAAATCCCCAGTGAACTCGTGACTTCAGTGATTCTTTAAGTTTTTTAATGAAAGTAATTTTCTTTTAGGGTACAATAACGAAAAGAAATTGTCACTAACCTGTGATAGTGTTTATAGAATCATCTATTGGAATGAGAAATTATAAAAGCAATTTTGGACACAGACCACATTAAACTAGCTATTTTATCACGCTTTTTTTTTAAATAAAAGAATATCATAAGACACTTTAATTACAGTCAGACACGTGGACGGCGCCAAATGAACTCATGGAGATATTCTCCATGGACCAGGACTATTTGGATTTTCTCGAAGAGTCAATTCCAGATTTCAACATATGCTCTGAAAATGTATCAGAAACCTCTAAAGCTATAAGTAGCACCTGTTCAGACAGTGGAATTTCCAGTGATCATGCTGAATTGTGAGTAACATAAAATATTTAAAACTATTCTACATTGCAAAGATTAAATATTTTGGTAATTCATATAGTGCACTATTGGTCTCTGAGCATTTTGTCACAGAGAATGCTAATTGATTATTTACCTATATCTGAAAAATCTTAATCTGGTTTATGAAAGTAGGCAGAGATGCATTCCGTATATTTATGATAATAAAAAGGATAAAAATGCCTAGAAATGGAAAAAAATATCAATTTATTAACAGGATTCACTCGTTTTCCCCCAAAACTAAATGTAAGGTCACAAAGGGTTATCAACATTCTAATAGCTATCAGAATATATTGGGAAATATATAGCTCAATATTTAAATTTTTTGTGTTAATAAAACAAAGATTAATAAATAATAGCCAAAATAGAAGAAAAAAAACGTATGTGTTAGCAATAAAACAACAAAATATTCTGCATTCAAGTTCCCTAGTGCATCCAAGCACCCTAAGTTCAGTACCAGAAACATAGGAGACAAGTACATCCAAGCTATGGGCCAAAAATTATACTAAATATCTTTAAAAATACTGGGAACCCAAACCCATGGTGGTGATGTAGTCAAGGTTACTTACTAGCTACAATGTAGCCAACAAATACAAGTTATATACATTAAATTCAGCTTAAGAACAAACTTGAAGTTCATTTAATTAAACTGCCCGTGTCTATTCATTATTCTTAAGTACAGCCTATAAATTCGCTTGAAAAATAGGCATTGGGCACGAAAGTCCCGTTACCTTTTGCGTAGTTCCTTAAGCTTTCGCCATAAAACTCATATTTCTATAGCAACGGCATGTGTAATATCATTAGCTGGGCAGAGCACTGACACGAAGACGATATATGTATGGTGACAACGCTTCGTGATTGTCTGTTGGGATTTTACGTAACGCCCCAGATTCATTATCGTATATGAGCTCAGTACGTTGTATAATAAATAGTTCATGCATTGTATTTTGTAACATGAAAGATTGCTTTCTGATCAGATAAATTGTTTTGAATATAATCGAACTTAAATATATTTAATCACATTCGGGGGGACACGTTTTTTAGTGCTTTCGAAGGCAGACGAGCTTAAGCCTTATCTGGGCTGACTGCTCACCGTTGCTCATGGACTTTATAGATNGCTCAGTACGTTGTATAATAAATAGTTCATGCATTGTATTTTGTAACATGAAAGATTGCTTTCTGATCAGATAAATTGTTTTGAATATAATCGAACTTAAATATATTTAATCACATTCGGGGGGACACGTTTTTTAGTGCTTTCGAAGGCAGACGAGCTTAAGCCTTATCTGGGCTGACTGCTCACCGTTGCTCATGGACTTTATAGATATATACAAGCAGATGCTGCGTATAATACCAGTGTAAGATCAGAACTGGTTAATACATTTTAACTGGAAAAATCACGCCAAGGCCAAAAATCCAAATATAATGGAACGCTAAGATACCTATCATTTCAAACTAATTGAGACTTTAACCTCCAGCAATATGGATGGAATTGAGACTGTGATCTTTTTGGTAAGCGCTTAACACAAGAATTTTTTAGTCCTTCGAACTATTTCAAGACTTGATAAGATAATAAAAATAGTCCTTTGTATAATAGCATAAAAGTAACAACGGGACTTTTTTCCTTTTGCACCTACGACGTAGTGACTCATAAGTGCGTAATTTGAAAACACTATAATATTAAATTATCTTAACAATATGTTTTCTGGAAACTGCCTGATATTATTTGCTCGGTGAGTATGGCTTGAGATAATACGACCTTATCTTCGAGTTGTCTCTGCGAATTTAATACCAAAAAAAATATTCAGCAAATAATTTATATAATAAAATATTTGTTTCATAATATTGTAATAAAGCTATTTAGTGTAATATACTTTTCAAGGTCAAGACGTTTTTTTGATTACAATTATCTTAATCGAGTTGCACCCGTGGTCCACCTCTAGTGATAAGATCGCCTCGATACCACAGAGCAATTTCTAGAAAAGACAGCACGATGCCTCGCAGAGAATGCTCGATTTATTTACCTGTAACAAAAACGGCTTAACTGTACCGGGGTATAAACTCGGATGCGAACCAGTCATATACGTTTCAGATTAAAACAATAAGATAAATGTTGTTCCGAAGAACTCCGACTGCATTTAGGCTCTGGTCAGACAGAGAAGCCAAGTGGTCGTAGCGCGACGTCCGTCAGTCCGATGTCACTTTAGCCATACCTGCCTACGCTGAGCTTTATATCATCTAAAGCTTCAAAGCGGGTTGTTGAGCTGCTAGTTGTAGTTTGACCAACTCCCAACTTGTCCTTCTACCGTCCCCCAATTCGGAGACGAGAGAGTGGGGCGAAATTACTTTGAGAAGGCGGCACGACATGAGAACCTTCGCGTGTCATGGTTGCTGGAAATTACATACCCGATCCTGTAGACCGAATAGTAAATACGTCGTCCAAAACACGTCATTACGGATCCTCCCGATCCATTAACAGTGCTTTTAGGTACCACAGGCACCGGTCACCGTCCTCGTCGAACCCGTTGCTTGCGACGAAGGTCTCGACGAGTGAATTAACCCTCAGACACAGCCCACTGAGTTTCTCGCCGGATCTTCTCAGTGGGTCGCGTTTCCGATCCGGTGGTAGATTCTGCAAAGCACTGAGCTCACCTACACGTTAGAGCGAAGCTGAAATAGCCTCTCAAGGCTATCACTATAGGTAGAAAAAAAAGGGAACGATTTCCTCATTTATTAAAAATCATTTGAACCCTTTGCTTGTCTAGTTATGTAGATTTATAAACAAAATTATTTCCAATGTTCAAACGTTCAAAGAAAGCATGAGAGTTCGTGTGTCCATTCAGATTCGGTGAATCACAGCCATGACCATAACGTGCGACCAACTTACCGGGAGTATTAACATTCTACACGGAAACGCCCACTAACGACAAGCTACGCATGATAATAATAATCAGTGCTTTGAACTATGCTACGTCATACGTTGCACTGTGTTCCCAATAAATACCCCTGTATGTAGTTGGCATACTTATTATTAACAACTATGTTGTAATTTGCTTATAATAGAAGTCGCATTTAATTAAACGAAACACTAGAGATTTGAATTTGACCGCGACATAAACAGGAAAATATTTATTTATATTTGTAGGAATAATATTATATGGGAAGAGTGAAACGGGTTGTATAAATTAGATCTAGACCTTGCAGAGGTGACTTAAAATAAAAGGTAGTTGCGTGAATACTGTCTGCTCCTGGAATTGCTGACGGTAACTAAAAAAATGCAATAAAATAATATTTTACAAAAGTGTAAGGAAATCAAAATCAAACGATATCCTTAACAATTTTAGGACAACATATTATAAATAAATAGAAAAGTTGTGTTCTTACAATTAACAAGTACAAAAAACAATTCAGTTTTCTAGAAAGAAATCGCATGTTTTGCTGACGATTTATAAATGGGGTGCGTGTAAAATTACATTTGTAATTGAGCGATTCAGTGTTTATTAGTTGACTTTGTAAATTTTTAATAGCACAACAAGGTTGTCGTACCAAATTTGAGGTTTTGATTTACATTGCATTGTCAACAAAAAATATAAGGATTGCAGCGTAGGCATATTTTGAACCCATATGAGCAGGTACCACAATACTACTCATTTTGGACGCGATGCAGTCATACGTTTTGGTTTGAAAGGTGTGTTAACAGCTTTACATGACAATTGAGACCTCGAGGTCTTATATTAAGATGCCTTGCGCCCTTCGTGGTGTGATATCTTGTAAGGTCCAGCATTCACTACCTCAGGCAAGCCTTCAAATTGTTTACTTAACCAGAAAATGAAAATAAAATAATTATTGGAAACTATCACTGCTTAATTTAGACGCGGATATTTCTATTCTTTTAATTAATGCATATTAGATTAGATAGAATTACATATGTACGTTATTACAGACAATTCAAATACTTTACGGTTTTCATGGTCCCGGTCGATATGTATTTATCTAGTACTAAAGGTCCCGCAGTAGTCGAAATTCGACTATAATTAATCGGAATTGTAAGTTTGTACACTATTATGATTGTATTTTATACTTCTATAATCGCAAATTTCGCCAAGACTACACTATAGAAAAATATTAATAAAGACAAACAATATTTAATCTATGTATTCTCAATTTGACCACATACGTCAAGAACAAAAGTATGACAATAAATAGTATGCACTGTGCATGCGTGTGTGCGTCAAATATAATAATATGTTATGTAGTGTGTGTAATGTTTTCTTTAGAGATTTAATGTATCTATTATGCATTATTTTAAAAAAATATTAGCATTCGGCACTCCTTCTTTATATTCTCTATCAGTGTGGGAAATTTCATACTCCTCGGTCCGCACAATTTTCGTAAAAAGGGATACAAAGTTTTTCCTCCACGTATTAATATATAGATATATAAAGTACAAGACATTAGAGGAAAAATTTATAAGTTAATTTTAATTGTACCTAAACAGTTTGTATATAGCAATCGTCTCTTGACTCATATCGGAATTCACGAAGTTCAGTTTAGTTGCCTTCTCTTGAATTATTATATCATGAGGTGTTTCAATACAAGAATGTTCATTGCTTGTAAAAAAAATGCTTACGTTACCAAATAACAATTTTGCAGTTCAATAATAAAATTCATATGAATTTTAAATATATAGACAAATATTGTACAAAGTAAACATTTCTCGTACCTCATGTTGGTTGAAACTAAACAAATGTTTCTAAATTAAAAAAAATATGTTAATATAATTTTCTCTAGTGGATTATTAGTAGGCGAAAAAAACACATTAAATTTTACGCACCGATTAAATTGATTTGATTGTGAATTCTTAAATCAGAACGTAGGTAAATAGGAAATTGAAACTTGCATGGGTTTGGAATCGTTAACAAAAAAAATATGTCTTGATGAAAGCCTCTGTCATTCTGTTTTCTTTTGTTTTAAA